CAGGACTGGGCAAGACCAAAGACAAGAACAGAGAAATCAGTAAAATCTCCCATATGGGTGACAGGAACCTAAGTACTTGAGCTATTACCTGCTGCCTTCCAGCATCAATAGGAAGCTGGAATCAGAAACAGAGTTGGGACTTAAATCAGGCACTCTGATATGGGTGTAAGGATCCCAAGTGGCATCTTAACCACTGTACCAAATGCCTGTTCCATATTCAATACTTTAAGGGAAAAATATTTCATATGTAGGAGAAAACCAGTTTCTTATAAACTGTATTTATTGATAGCATTTTAGCTCTCCTTGAACATTAATTGTATGCCTCTTTATTTGTAGGTGTATACTATGTATATGACTGAATGCTAGCCAATGTTTAACAAGTATGTAATTTTGTGCAGGATATAGAGCAAGATGCTAGACAGTAAGTACATTTTAATATGATAAATAATCAATTTTATACCACTAATCTGGGAAGAGAACTCCAAGTAGCCATCTGCCAATCTTCCTAATCCATATTTTTCTCTCTTTCTTTGGTTTTGTGTCTAATTGGAATATGGTAGTGCTGCATGCTTGAGATACAGTGTGATTTTGTGACACATGTTTGCATCATGTCATAAGCAAATTGTGGTATTTAGCATGCTCATCCTCTCAAATTTTTATCATTTCTTTATGGTGAAAACATTCAGAATTCTCTTCTAGTTGTTTGGAAAACATAAACTATAACATTGTAAACTATAGTCATCCCTCCATGATTTAGAACATTAGAACTTGTTCTTCATATCTAACTGATTTTGTACTCATTGACCAATCCCTGCCTCTTAGTCCTTCTCTGTTGTTCTTCCCATTCTCTGGTGAGCACTTCTCTGCTTGGCACTTCTGTTGAGATCAGCAATCATAGATTCCTCAGTGAGTGAGGTTTTACAAAATTTTGCCTTTCTGTGCCTGGCTTATTTCAGTTAGCATCATGCCCTTTATGTTGTTGTACTTTACTACATGTGAAAAGATTTCATTTTTTAAGATTCAGTAATATTCCACTATGTACATGTACCACATCTTAAGGAACTCTAACAACTCAGTAGCAAAAAAGCAAATAAAACAGTTTAAAATGGGTGAAATACTTGAACTCACATTTCTCAAAAAAAAGATATACAGTTGACCAACAAGTACATGAAATCATGTTCACTCTAATCATCAGGTAAATGCAAATTAAAACCACAATGAGGTGTCACCTCATATCAAATAGAATGGAAAAACAACAATTTCTGGTGAAGATTTGGAAAAAGGGGAACTTTCAAATGATGATAGTAAGAATTTATATTGGAATAGCCACTATGGAAAATAGTACTGAGGTTCCTAAAATAAATAAATAAAAATAAAACTATGCAAGCTGGAAATCTCACTACAAGGTATTTATTTAAAGGAAATACATCAGTCTTTTGAGGGGATATCTGCCTTCAATGTTCGTTGCAGCCCTACTGCTCTCTTTAGAATTGCTTTACATCCTATCTGAAATGTTTCTTGAAGAACTTGGACATAAGCAGCCATTTCTTTGGCAAAAAATTGTACCTTTCCATTGTTAAATGACTATTACAAGGGAAAATGAATTGCTAGACTGGGCCAGGATAATTGCATTGAATTGTTGTTTATATTTTTGAGAACTGGGTTATAGGCATATAATAAAAATTAAACTGAAAAATCAAATAATGTTAAGGCTCTGATAACATTTTTAGTGTCTGTGCCTTTTTAGAAACAAGTAAAGGAAGTATTCTTCAGATAGAATGGAACAGACATAAAAACTAAAGCAAATCCCCAAAAAATATTTTATTTAAGTAAGTAGTCACCCCAGTATTTGATTTCCCATTTTTACTATTCCTTTTCCCTAGCATATTTATGACAGAAATGTAATATATGTTTGTGGGGAGCAACTCAGACTAGACTAAGTTACTGGAATTAAGACTTATTCTGTGCATCTGCTCTCCCACAATATGGCGCTGGGAGAGGAGTAAAACAGCTTCTACACAGCTGCCTCCAGTTCAACCAATAAACTGTAGGACCTGCTCCTGATTGGAGGAGAGCAGCGTACTCGGCGTGTGGGTAGCAGAGTTGGGATTGGTGGAAGAGGACTATAAAGGAGGAGAGAGACAACATGCACCAGGAACACCTGAGGAACACCTGTGCAGCCCCCGAGAGAGCTGGCCAGCGGTGTGCCGCTCCCCCGCGGAAGTGGGGAAAGTGGCAGGGGGAACCGCCCTTCCACGGAGGTGGAAGGGACGGTAGCCAACCTGGGAAGAACCAGCAGCAAACCCGGGGAGGGCCGAGCAGACAAAAGAACAGCGCAGGGTTTAGTGTCGCTCCTCCGCGAAGAGGGGGAGCGACATAATGGTGCCGTGACTCGGATAGGAAACCTAGGCAGGGTCCTGTGTCGTTCCTCCACGAAGAGGGGGAGCGACATATGTTCTTGTCTATGAGATTGCCTTTTGTATATATAAAAATCTCTTTCTCCACCATTTACCTAAGTTAGTAGGAGAAATCTGGTTCTTGTAATGAGTGTTATCTTATTAATATTAATTAATTTATCTTTTTCTTATTTTTATTTACTAGGCAAGTAAAACATTAAAGTTTTAAGTGACACAATTGTCCACAATATTGGAAAATTTTGTCTTTTTTTTTTTTTTTTTTTTGACAGGCAGAGTGGACAGTGAGAGAGAGAGAGACAGAGAGAAAGGTCTTCCTTTGCCGTGGGTTCACCCTCCAATGGCCGCTGCGGCCAGTGCGATGCGGCCGGCGCACCGTGCTGATCCGATGGCAGGAGCCAGGAGCCAGGTGCTTCTCCTGGTCTCCCATGGGGTGCAGGGCCCAAGCACCTGGGCCATCCTCCACTGCACTCCCGGGCCACAGCAGAGGGCTGGCCTGGAAGAGGGGCAACCGGGACAGAATCCGGCGCCCCGACCGGGACTAGAACCCGGTGTGCCGGCGCTGCTAGGCGGAGGATTAGCCTAGTGAGCCGCGGCGCCGGCCGAGGAAAATTTTGTCTTGAAATGTATGTGTGTGTGCTATATTGTGTGTGTGTGTGTGTGTATGTATGTATGTATGTATATATGTGATGCGATTCTCTTGGGAATATGTTACACAGGGAATTCCGCTAGTACAAGCACTGCGAGAGACAAAACACAAATGTATACAATGGCACATTATAAAGTACAAAGTTTCTTCTCCTTAATTAAAATAATAAACTTACAAAGGAAGATTAGGCAAGTAAATAAAGGAAAATCATTAAACTGGACCATTTAATGGACATTAATTAATTTTTAAGATTTGCAGAGTTACAGAGAGGCAGAGGCAGAGAGACAGAGAAAGAGCTTCCCTCTGTTGGTTCAGTCCGCAAATGGCCACAATGGCCTGGAGCTGGGCCAATCCAAAGCCGGGAGATAGGAGCTTTCTTCCAGGTCTCCCATGCGGGTTCAGGGGTCCAAGGCTTGGGCCATCTTCTACTGCTTTCTCAGGCCACAACAGAGAGCTGGATTGGAAGTGGAGTAGGTAGGATTCGAGCCGATGCCCATATGGAATGCCTGCACTGCAGGCCGTGGCTTTACCAACTATGCTACAGCATCAGCCCAATTAAAATCATTAAATTAACATTATAAAGGATCACTTGAATAAATATTGATAAGAATGGGACTGTAACAATTCAATACAAAGTAGTGTATCTTGAACAGTAAGGTTACTGAATGAATTTTTGCATGAAATTATATTTGATAAATATAATTTATCATTACATAATTTATAATATATATAATTATATAATTATATATTTTATAATATAATTATATAATTATATAATTATATAATTTATAATATATATAATTATATAATTATATATTTTATAATATAATTATATAATTATATATTATATACATTGTATATATAAATATATATCATATAATATATATTATATAATATATAAATTATATAATTTATAATATATGTATAATTATATAAATATTATTTCAAGTGACCTGCAGAATGACTTGAAACAGATGAAGACTAGAGTTTAAATATATGAAGACTGCCAAAATATATATCCCAAATATAAAATATATCCCAAATATAAAATTACAAGACTGACAGCTTTCAATTGGGTATATAAATGGATAGTATTCAAAATACCTAATGAAAATTTATGGGAAGAAAGTTATTTTGTGTAAAGGGAATTGATAATAGAAAAATTTTGGAAACAATTTTCAAGGTAATGACTTTTTGTTTTTTCTATATTTGGAGGTTGAATAATGATTTTAGTCATGGATAATGACAATGATTTTTGTTTTTTGCTGTTAAGTTCCTGCTATTGATGAAGGACATCTGGGGGAAGAAAATGTTTTGGGAATTGTAATTGGTAAATAGACATATGGAAAGAGTAATTAAAATTATTTGCTTATCTATGCATTCATCAAAGAGGTGGATAACACAGAGAAGGAAGACAGAACTCTGAGGGATATCAGAGATAAAATTTTAATTAAGATTATTTGTCCTGGCTCAAAATTTTATCCATATTAAAGTTGAGCCAAGGTAAATAATCAGAAATATCAAAAGATATAAAGGAGAGTAAGTCCTACAGCCAGTAAAGTTTAGAAAAAAAAATCCATTGTGATATGCAGCTTATGTGAAGCAATTATATTTGGGCAGAAAAATAAAAAGACATCTGTACCAGTCTTGTTAGAATGCAGAAGTTGAAACACCAATTTCAGTAAAATAGTGTTTAAGAGATGGGTAATGAAGCAGATTGACTCGTGAAATTACAAGGTAAGTCTAATATAAAGTATAATGAAACCTAAGTAGTACAACATAGATTTCTACAAAATGTAGGATTGTGTTCTTTAAAAGTCTTTATTCATAGTTTGTTGGTATCTATTTTTCAGACCCCAGCATCCTATAATTTTAAAGCTTTTCTTAATGTACTACTCAGCTTTTGTGTAGTACTGAAGAATATTAAATTCTTACAGGTACAAAATTGTAAATGCTGGCTCCCCCAGAACCTGGGGGCCTTGTCCCCTTCACTAGAGAATCTCTTGAAGTCATAAAACAGCACATTGCTAAAAACCACAGTGAGGAACATGAAGAAGATTTAAAGCCAAACCCTGACTTGCAAGATGGCAAAGAGCTTCCAATTATTTATGGAAATCTTTCTCGAGGAATGGTGTCAGAGCCATTGGAAGACGTGGACCCCTACTACAAGGGAAAAAATGTAAGAATTCATTGAAATAGTTGTGATTCCATTTGTATTGTGTTTCTAGAAATGAAAAAAAAAAAAGAGGTAATTGAGGTAAGACATAAAAAGGTATTGAAGGACAGATAAACACCTCATTTTAAATTTTGCAAAACTTTAAAAGGATATTTTAATTTGGGGATATATATATATATATTTGAGATTTTATCAAATTGATATCTTACTTAATTGTATAGATTTAGGTTGGATTACTTTACTTCTTATTATAGGTATTGGTAGGCCTTAATCTAAATGATGAGATAGAGAGAGAGGAGGCGAGATAGAGTGAGAGAGAAATCTTCCATATGCTAGTTCACTCCCCAAATAGCCAAAAAAAATGGTCAGGGCTGGACCAGGGCAAAGCCAGGAGTCAAGAGCTTCTTCCAGGTCTCCCATGTGGTTGCAGGAGGCCAAACACTTGGGCTGTCTTCTCTTGCTTTCCTAGGCACATTACCAGGAAGCAGGATCAGAAGTGGAGGCCACAGCTTGAATCAATGCCCATACAGGGTGCAGGCATTGCGTGCAGAGTCTTACTGTGCCACAATGCTGTCAATATTTAAGAGAGAATATAATGTGTAGATTATTCATATCAATTAAAAATGTTCTATTTTATGAGTTTACACAGAAATTAGGAAAGAAAATTCAATCATTTCTTATTCATTCATGTATTCATACTGTCTCCCAAGTGAGTTGACGCACCTATTACTACTGTAAGTCTCAAATGAAGAACAAAATATTTAATATGAGCATAAGTATGTTCAGAAAAGACAGAGATCTGTAAGAACAGATGAAGCTTCAAGTGTTCATTAAGAAAGTAATATTTGTGTTATGCCTTGAGGAACACTTCAAATTTTAATAAGACAAAAGATCTTTTATGAACACATTAGAACAAGAATTGGTTATGGAATGAGGAAAAGACCAAATGGTGTGTAACTGGGAACTTAGCTGTGTTGGCAAATTTGGGGAAATAAGATGAGATAATAGAGATGTTAACATGGATTTAACATGATCAAATGACTGATGTGATTAATGTAATGTTTAAGTAAATTTAAATTGTCATAGTTATTTTTTTAAAAAAGGTTTATTTCTCTACTTGAGAGGCAGAGTTAGAGAGAGAAGGGAAGAGAAAAAGATTTTTTTCACCTGCTGGTTCACTCCTCCAAATGGCCACAATGGCTAGAGCTGGGCTGATCTGAAGCCAGGAGCCAGGAGCTTCTTCTGGGTCCTCCACATCAGTGCAGGGGCCCAAACACTTGGGCCATCCTCTACTGCTTTCCCAGTCTGTCCGCAGGGAGTTGGATCAGAAGTAGAGCAGCCAGGACATGAACCCTTGCCCCTGTGGATTGCTGGTACTGCAAGTGGATGCTTAACCTACTATACCACAGTGCTGGCCAGTGAATTGTCACATTTCTAAATTACTATTTCATGGAAGAGAGTGTCAGAATCAGGAATGTGAAGGATAAGAGATGATAGAGACAGACAGAAAGAGAGAGAGAGAGAGAGAGAGAATCTGAAGTTAATAGGCCTGTATTCTAGCAGTTTCTCAGAGCAGAGAAAACAAACCTAAGCAGTAGCAGCAGGATTTATCTGACTAATAATTCCATTTTTCCACTTGGAAGAATATTACAGTATATTAAATCTTTTTACTATTGTGGTCTGGTTTGATTTTTTTCTGCAACAAAATGAAGTGGTTTACTTACATCAGTTTCTAAGATATACCACCTCTGGTACTATGGAATTCATCTCATTTAACCACAAGGATATAGTGCTCTTCCTATTCTGTTACTTCTGTGAAGAGACCTGACAGTGAGGTACATTGAAAATGACTTTCTCAGGTACAACACTGGTAACAAAGCAAAATAATTATGATGGATAAATAGATATGCCTAAACAGTAATGAAATTAATTTAGAAATGTATCCATTTGACTTAGTCTGTAAGAGAATATCAAAAATAAGAAAATCTCAACTGTTAGACCCAAGACCACAATGATCATTGGAAATATGTTATATAATTGAAAAGATTATAGTTTTCACTTTTATTTATTCTTTTTACAGACTTTCATGGTATTAAATAAAAAGAGAACAATCTTCAGATTCAATGCTGTTTCCCTCTTTTGTACGTTATCTCCTTTCAACTCTGTTAGAGGAACAACTATAAAGGTTTTGGTACATCCATATCCTTTTGTTACCTGTACTTTAAACTGTAACTATTCTATTTGATGATTTTCCAGTATTTTTCTGTTTCCAATTGATATTTCATCTAAGGCCATATTATATCTCAATTTAAATGTATCATATTTGAAAATATACATAAGGTATATTTTCTATTGTGCAAATATTAGTAAGTATTAGCAAATATTAATCTCCATTATTTTCAGTAAGAGTACATATTTTCAAATGTATAGAAAAACATTTTACCTCATGTGTTTACACAAATATAAATAGATCACAGAAATGTATTTTCCAGTATTATGCATTACTCATTTTTCCTTGACTGTAACCTACATTTTTCCAATATTTAATTTTAATTTGTGTCCTTATTGATTGCACATTTTTGTCCATGACTAATATGCCAAAATGGGGAACAGCAGTAGAGTAAGTTATACAATTTTACTGTTTAAAATGTCATATATAATTATTTTACTTTTTAACATTATTTTAAAATATATTAAATATATATTTTAAATATAAGAGTGGGAAAAAGAAAAGGAGGAGAGGTACAGTTTGACACATGCTCAATTGGACTTACCCCTAATGGTAGAGTTAGAAACATGCCAGTGGATTCCAATTCAATCCCATCAAGGTGGCATGTACCAATGCCATTTCACTAGTCCAAGTGATCAGTTTCAGTTCATAATTGATCGTAATGATAGGATTAAGAGTCAAAGGGATCACATAAACAAGAGTAGTGTCTGCTAATACTAACTGATAGTAGTATCAGTTCCAACATGAGAAGCTGGATACACAGCAGACTCATAGAATGGCAGATGTCCTAAACAGCACTTTGGCCTCAGAATCAGCCCTAAAGGCATTTGGATCTGGCTAAAAAGCCCATGAGAGTATTTTAGGCATGGAAAGCCAAGACACTATGGCAAAAGAAAAAAAAATGACCTAAATGAAAGATCTCTGTGAGTGAGATCCCAGTGGAAAGAATGGGCCATCAAAGGAGGAGGTAACTTTCTCTGAAGGGAGGAGAGAACTTCCACTTTGACTATGACCTTGTCTAAATAAGATTGGAGTTGGCAAACTCAAGAGGCTTCCATAGCCTTGGCAGCTCATGACAAGAGCCTTGGGTGATTACAGATGTCATAAACAAGAGTGTCAATTGTTAAATCAACAACAGGAGTCACTGTGCACTTACTCCCCATGTAGGATCTCTGTCCTTAATGTGTTATACTATGTGAATTAATGGTAAAACTAGTATTCAAACAGTACTTTATACTTTGTGTTTCTGTGTGGGTGCAAACTGTTGAAATCTTTATTTAGTATATACTAAATTGATCTTCTGTATAAAAAGGTAATTGAAAATGAAGAAACATTCTTTTAAAATATATTAAAATATATAACATACTGTATAAGATGACATTGTACAATTAAACATTTATAATAATTATATTTTAAAGATCTACAGTGTAAAAATTTAAATATATCATAGTGAATGAATTTTCCTATTGAAAACAAATATACACATATTTTGATTCATAAATTTTAGGTTTTGTTTTTACCCTTTTATTATTTTAAAATTTAGTTTGATTTCCCGACAGATTAGATTAATGTAATATAAACATTTGAGTCTTTAGCCATAGGTTTCTACCTATGATAAACAAGTATGATTTTATTTCATATTGGATTATTAATGATTAATGTTTCAGGGCCTCAGGTCTTTACTATAGCTACTCCACATGTGATTGATTCTAATTCAAATAACTTTTCTTTCTTTCTTTCATGAAGAAATAGTTTCTCTTCCTTTCTGTTCTACTTCTTTTGTCTTCCTGAGGGATGTGATTAGTCTCACTTGCATTAGACTACAGTGATTGACTGGCTTATTCAATTTTCTAGGAAATTTCACATTACCTTCTGAGATTTAACTCTATTTTTAAAACTAGTTGACTTTGGAACTTGGCTGTCAAATTCCATGGCCAGTATCACAAGATCGCCCATCCTAGGAGCCCTTTCTGAAGTCCTGTGCTAAGATTTCAGGGACACCTGATTTTCTGATTGTTGTCTGGTTGGTTGATGGCAGGTTGTAGCTTGACAAACAGACCCAGCCCCACATTTCTGATACTTATTTTCAAATACAAGATAGATAGTTATCATGGATATAACATTCAGAATTGAAAATGTATTATTATCAGATTGAATATTTATATGAAAAACTTTCTGCAGGAATACGTTGCTTGGAGTTTACACATTTGAAATATTTGTAAAACTGCTTGCAAGAGGCATCTGTGCAGGATCCTTTTCTTTTGTTGGTGATCCGTGGAACTGGCTCGATTTCAGTGTAACTTTGTTTGAGTGAGTATATCTTTCAACTATAATCACCTAAACATCTGCTAAGCAATCTTCTTATAAAAAAATACTTGAGATCTACACAGATTTGTGCCTGCAAAGTATTAGCAGCTGAACAGTTCTTCATAAGTGGAAGTCATAGTGAGTTCTCTCAGGCTGCTGTCCCTGAGTTTGTCCTCAGAAAATGTGAAAATAAAAGGTATGTGATATTTTCTGTTTCCTATTTTAAGGAAGAATTATAGGTAGAGTTTGTTTATTTCAAGGGATTCTTTTTTTTTTCTGTGAGCATAGAATTCTCTGAAGAATTAGGAGAAAATTCTACCATATTTGATTCTTTGCTCCATGCTACATTTAATTTAGCTGCATTACTTATCACAAGTAAATATGTCAATATGTCAGATACTAGAACAAGATATTTTAAACACACATATCTAGAGTGTTACATGTAATTCTAATGAGTTCCTGCCTATTCAATGCTTGTATATAGTGTTTTCTGTTTTTTGTTTGTGGAAATTATCACTAATATCAAACTCCTGTTAAAAATGTTAAATGCTATGTTATTTGTAGATTTTTCTATTAAAAGTAGCATTTATAAAGGGCATAAATTGGATCTACTTTGTGTTGAGCAATTAAAATAGTAGCTATTATGATTATGGTTGTATTTTAAACTATTACTACCATTGGCTCTGCTATTGTGGCTATTGCTGTTAGCTTAAATAACATGTATAGAGTCTTCACTACGTGCCAGTTGCATTTCTCTATATTTTGCCTCTATTAATTCATTTAATCCCAAAGAAAAATCCCTAGAATCAGGAAGTATTATTAATCCCACTTTACAATTGAGGAAACTGAGGCAAGAAAGTTTGAGTAATTAGCAGATGCCATACAGCTAGTTGATTATGGAGCCTCAGATTCTGTACAGGTAGTCCGAATCAAATCTAAACCCTTAATTTAACCAATGCACATAATGCCTCCTACTGTCATCACTGTTCACTGTCATCATCACCATAATTACCATCATCCTCATCAGTTTAAATACTTAAATATCATTCTTTTACAAACTTGCCATTGTTTTTTCTTAATTACAATTTAGTAGATAAAATTCATGAATATAATATAAAATATTTGACTTATTATTGAAATTAAGTTATTCACAATGTGAAATTTTCATAGACTCTTAATTTAAGCTTGGAAATTAATGGTTGCCTGGGTACTTCACACTGTGCCTATCTTTGTCTTCCAATCAATAATGAAATTATTTGAAAAAATAGTGTAATGTGAGCAAAGGAAATGTCTAGATAAGTAATTTTAAAAATTACTTCAAAAAAGTATAAAATGTCCAAGATAGGTGATATAAACCTAATATGACTTCTAAGTAACTATGATTTAATTCTACAGGCTTTTAGCAAGATATTCACCTCTAAACTTGATTCTAAAGCTTGAAATTGTTAGAACTTGGAGAATTTTGAAAATTATTCCTTTAAATCAAGGTAAGAAATGGCATTCAATTCTTTTTCTTCATTTTTTTTAATGTATTGTTGTGCATTCATTGAAAATCTGTTGTTCCTTAAGAAAATGTTAGCTTGAGCAATATCTCTCCCTTGAAAAAAAAAAGTTACCTTATATTTAAGTTTGTCACTGCAGCAAAATGGAAAAAATATTAACTTTTACTGTGTTTATTCTGTGTGGGTTCAATACTTGTAATACCAAATATAGAGATCATTAAAGTATACTTTAATTACATCTTAAATGTGAACTTATAAAATTATCCTAAAATATCTGAGAGAAATGACAAACTAGACACATCTAATTTGTCTCCTTTTCCTCATTACATTGAGAGACCATCAGAAACAACCAAAGTCATATAAAATAAAACAAATTCCTCTTTTCTCTCAGTGCTTAGATAGGGTGCAATCCAATGTCACACACATCTCAGGGCAGCGGTCACTGGATGGAGAAAGCTGAGGACTGATTTTAGCTTCTATTCCTGAAAACACTTTAGCAGAAGCCCACCAACACCTAATTCGTTGTTTTGAAAGAATAAAAGCAGATAGAAACAGCTCCACTCAGAACTTTTTGGCTGCTGTGAGATGTATCTGGCCATAGTTGCATTGAGAAACCCAAAGGTGAATGTAAATGATAGCCTTCCTCCCTGTCCCCAGCCTCCCTCCCCCTCAAAAAAACCCATCTACACACAACTTCTCTGAACAGGAACACTAAGAAGGCCAGACATGTGAATAACATGCCCTTGGAGTTCAGGCTGAGAAAAAGATCAGAAGATTGGAGATGGTCTTAATAGATTCATAACTCGTGAACACACTAAAATATCAATTTGTGCACATTAAAGTTATGAACTGTAGGGTTTGGGAATTGTATCTCCATAAAGCTGTTTAGCAAAAATGACCTGTGGTTTCACCAAATCTAATTAAGAAAATAAGTAGTGAGAGTTCCCCTAATAGGTTTTTCCACATCTGCTGCTCAGTTACCACACTCTGAATATTACTAGAACATAAAGTTGCATCACCTGCACCTTTATCTTAGGCTTATCTTACGTTCTTAGAGCCCTCTCACGTTCTTTTTCCTCCAGGAGAATAAATAAGGCAGATCCCAACAATATGAAGTTTATGAAAATATTTACCCTTTTCTTTTTTTATAATCCAGAAAGAGAAACATATTATTTAAGAGAAAGTATTTTATTAAAAAATAGCATGTTGAAGGAATAGAAGCAATCGTAAGAAATCAACATTTTGTAGTCCTCAGTAGAACCTAAACTCTCTCAAACAGAAAATGAAAATGAGATAATAAAATACAAAAATACAAACAGCTTAAAGACAAAGTGATAGAAATTGAAATGTCCCAGGTGAATATTCAACGGTAGTAGTGGCAGCAGGAGAAAGTGTTATCAAACACATTTGTGTAAGGAAAGATCATAGGCATTCTGTATTAATGCAGTAGAACAAAAAATGGGATGGATTAATGGATAGAAAATTAACTACAACTTATGGATAATTCATGACCCTGAGTAAGAGACCAGGATAAATGTCATAGAAATACTTTTCAGAAATATAGTAGATTGGCCAGCACCACGGCTCAGTAGGCTAATCTTCTGCCCACGGTGCTGGCTCCCCAGATTCTAGTCCTGGTCAGGTTGCCAGATTCTGTCCCGGTTGCCCCTCTTCCAGGCCAACTCTCTGCTGTGGCCCGGGAAGGCAGTGGAGTATGGCCCAAGTGCTTGGGCCCTGCACCCTCGAGACCAGGAGAAGCACCTGGCTCCTGGCTTCGGATCGGTGTAGCGCACCGGCTGTAGCAGCCATTTGGTGTTGAACCAACGGAAAAGGAAGACCTTTCTGTCTCTTTCTCTCACTGTCCACTCTGCCTGTCAAAAAAAAAAAAAAAAAAGTATAGTAGACAAGGTTACAAATTTTCTTCACTGGAGAAAGGCTTTGCAAATGGAAGGGGCTCATCTTACCCTAGACAAAAAAGAAGAAAAATAGCAAAAGACACACTTTGGCATATTATAAAAGTTTGTATATTTAAAGTATCGAAGACTAAAAGTATTGTAAAAAGAACCCACAAGCACAAAGAAAAAATACAGGGAAACAGATTATCTGGAAAAGTCACCCTTAGCCCTCTAGATAACATTACATGCGAGTAGTGAGCATGGATCTAGAACTTGGAGGGAGCCTAGATAGGCAGGTTGAACACTAGAACTCTATACCCGTCATCCATATGCAAAGTCAATAGGCTAAAATGTTCAGCATGAAAGGGTTCTGAAATTATGTGTTTCTTTCTTGAATATATACCAAATAAATAAGCATGAAAATTAAAATATTCAACAATTGGAAGATTTAGCTTTAAGGTAATCCCAGTGAGTGAGCTCTGAAACCATTTCAAAAGAGAATAAATTGCAAATGACTTTTGGTGGATTGAAAAACCAAATGCAAATGTTATAAAGTAAAAGTTAAGGCTTGAACGTTTGTGGATCATTCTTGAGCCCTACATATTCTGTTTGTATTTTAGACAGTTTTGAAACAGATGCCAACATTGGAAATATCTGGTGACTTTACGTTAAAATCTAGATAACGGGTGAATTGCCAAGGCCTGCTGCAGTTGAGGAACAGCTGTCCCTTTAAACAGGCTTATTTCTCTGGTCTTCTCACTCCCTGCCTGCATGCATTCAGCTTCCTGACCCACTCTTGTAAAGATTTTTATTTTTACTTATTTTTTACATTTTAATTAATATAGAGAGAACAGATTTCATGTATTGTATAGGTAATAAGTTCTAAGAAGATAAACCTACTTTCCTTCCTCTTCCCCCAACCCTACTCCTTCTCATCCTTCTTTTCATTTCATTAATTCTTGAAAAGACATAATTTAATCTACTCTATAATCACACATTTAATTCACCATTAACCATAATATTCAACAAGTGAAAAGTAAGATGACCACAGTTACACAGGAGTATAAACAAGTGCTAAAAATGACAATCACATCACAAAATGTCTGCTTATTTCCTGTGCTTTTTTTGTATTCTATATTAACTACCACCCATCAGAGAAAATGCATATTTGCCTTTTTGGGATTGGCTTATTTTACTAAGCACAATTGTTTCCTCTTATAGCCATTTTGTTGAAAAAGACAGCATTTCTTTCTTTTTACGAGTAGTATTTCATTGTGATTATATATAAAATTTCTTTAGCCAGTTGTCAGTTAATGGATATTTGAGTTGATTACGTATCTTAGCTATTGTGAATTGAACTGCAATAAGCGTGAGAGTAAAGATAACTCATTCCTATGATGATTTTCTTTGGTTGGGTAAATTCCCAGGAGTGAGATGGCTGGATCATATGGTAGATCTATTTTTCAGATTTCTGAGTAATCTCCATACTGCCTTCCATAATGGCTGTACTAGTTTACATTCCCATCAACAGTGGATTATGGTACATTTTTTCCCACATCTTCACCAGCATTTATTGCTTATTGATTTTTGCCTGATAGTCATTCTAGCTGACGTGAGGTGGAACATTGTGGTTTTTCCTTGCATTTCCCTGAATGCTAGTAATCCTGAGCATTTTCATGTGTGTTGGCCATTTGAATCTCATACTTTGAAAAATGTCTCTTCAAGTCCTTTGCCATTTCTTAACTGGATTATTTGTTTTGTTATTGTTGAGTTTCTGAGATCTTTATAGAATCTAGATATGAATCCTTTATCATTTGTATAATTTGAAGATACTTTCTCTCATTCTTTCAGATGCCTTTATACTTCATTGGGTGTATCTTTTGTAGTATAGAAGTTTCTTAACTTGATTTAATCCCATTTATTTATTTTTGCTTATATTGCCTATGCTCCTGGGATATATTTAAAGGACTCTTCGGCATATGCCAGCATATTGCAGAGTTTCCCTCTAGTAATTTGATAATATTAGTTCATAGACTTAGATCCTTGATCTGTTTTGAGTTGATTTTTTATATGGTGTTATGCGGGGGGGGGGGGGGGGGTCTTGTTTCATACTTTTGCATGAGTAGATCCAATTTTCCCATCACAATTTGTTGAAGACTGCAATTTCTCCAGGGATTGATTTTAGCTAGTTTGTCAAATATTAGATGATTATAGATGTATAGATTAATTTCTGCAATTTCAATTCTGTTCCATTGGTCTATATGTCTTTTTTTGTGCCAGTATCAGGCTGTTTTTATTATAATCTCCCTGTAGTATGTCTTGAAATCTGGTATTGTGATTCCTCTGGCTTTTTTTGTTATTATTTGTTTAAGACTTTTTTAGCTTTTTGAGGTCTTTTTTGTTTCCATGTGAATTTTAGCATTGTTTTTTCTAGATCTGAGAAAAATGTCATTGGTATTTTGATTGGGATCACATTGAATCTGTAAATTGCTTTCGGAAGTATGGACATTTTGAAGATATTAATTCTTACAATCCATGAACATGGTATATTTTTCCATTTTTTATGTCTTATATTTATTTAATTTTCTAAAATAATTCTCACTGTACAGATCTTTAAAATTCTTGGTTAAATTTACTCCAAAGTATTTAAATATTTATGTAGCTACTGTGAATAGGAAAGAACTTATAAGTTCATTCTTAGCCATGGCATTGTCTGTGTATACAAAGGCTACTGATTTATGTGTGTTGGTGTTATATCCTGCATCTTTACCAAACTCTCATATGAATAGCAATTATCTCATAGGGGAGTCTTTTGGTTCCCCTATATATAGAATCATGCCATCTGCAAACAGGGATTATTTGACTTTCTTCCAATTTATGTCCTTTGATTTTTTTTCTCTTGCTTAATGGCTTTGGCTAACCCTTCCTGAATAATACTGAATAGCAGTGGTGAAAGTGGGCATTCTTGTCAGGTTCTGGATCTTAAGGGAAATTCTTCTGACTTTTCCCCATTCAGTAAGATGCTGGCTGTGAGTTTGCCATAAACTGCCTTGATTGTATTGGAAAATATTCCTTCTACACCCAATTAGT